ATCAACAAAAGCAAGCATCTTCTGACTGTTGAAGCCTTGGTTGGCTTTTGGATCCTCGTTGTGGTCTTGCATGTGGTTTTAAATGTGACCTTAAATGTAACCTTAAATGTGAACTTAAACTATCTTCTCTGTTACTCTGTTACCCGTGATTTTGGTCTGACATAGGAAAAGCGAACCCAACGGAGGATTGCTGATGAAATTTATTCCGAAGGAGGAAAAGCAAATGTTGACTTTATTATGGCCACCAAGTTAATTTGACAAGAGACTTCACTGAGCCCACCGAGGTGGTCCTAACTTTGTTAGCTTATCCTCCTCCACCTCCTCATTAGCATTGTTATTCTTGCCTTCTCTTCATCTTCCTATTTTCTTCTCTGTTTTAAGTCTGGTTTACTTTTTCATGCCTCTTAATTTGCTTTCAATTCAGCTTCTCCCTCTTTAGCTTTTTAGTGTAAATTAAAATCAAAGCAGCAAATTTTAATTTTCATGTCTCATTTATCAGCTCAATTGCTTCATTTTCCCTATTAAATAACATTCGTTTAATTATAATACCTACCTGAGAGTAATTAAGATCTTCTCACAGACCGTCCCTTCAGCATTACTGCAGCAGTAAAAGTCCCTTGAAATTATCACTGGCTACGATGAGAGATCATCGTTTTTTTACGCTAGCAATTTAATTAAGATTTATCCTAAGTCTGAAATTAATTAAAGTTAAATATATTGCATAGCTAATTTAGTTACCTTACCAATCAAAGTCAACCAACCATTGGTATAACAATCATCATTTATTTAATTAAACCTTTTTTGGGAACCTTTGAGTATAATTACACACAGTGATAACTTCAAGTTGTTTCATTTCTTAGATTCAAATACAAAATGAGAAATTTTTCTGAATAGTTTATTGTTTCCAATTTTTGTTCAAATTTAATGTAGCATAATGTTAACTGTTGGTTTTGATAATCGTAATTAAAACAGTAAAACAGTTTTATTACAATTTAATTGTAAAGTAGTCATTTGGTGAGATTCATTGTTTACTTATTCATTTCTTTTGCTTTGTGTATTCCCTTACAGGTTAACAAGATGGACTTCTTAACCAGCTGTCAACCAATTTAATATAAATGGATCTTACTTGGGACTATTTTTGGATGGACAAAAACTGGACAAAAGAAAATCAAAGGATTGATCTGAAAAGTTAACTAAACAACAGGGAAATGCAACAAGCAGTGAGAAAATACATAAACATGAAGTGGACTTCTGAGTATCTCAGTAGATGGCTAGATTGAATGTTATATTTCAATTATTATTACAAATGTTGGTTGAAGAAACGCAAAATGGTATAAAAAAGTGCGATAAAAATGAAACCTCTTAAAAGAGTCACGGTTATGGCCTGAAGAAGCTGTTAAAAATATTGTTGATACAGATGAAGGTGGTAAAAGCAGGTAAGGTTAAAGGTCTTTTGTTTGCTTGCTTATTTACTTTTCTCAATCAAATACAGTTACAGTAGAGGTTCCAGTTAAGGTCTTTATTTAAATGAACATGAGAAAATACATAAACATGAAGTGGACTTCTGAGTATCTCAGTAGATGGCTAGATTGAATGTTATATTTCAATTATTATTACAAATGTTGGTTGAAGAAACGCAAAATGGTATAAAAAAAGTGCGATAAAAATGAAACCTCTTAAAAGAGTCACGGTTATGGCCTGAAGAAGCTGTTAAAAATATTGTTGATACAGATGAAGGTGGTAAAAGCAGGTAAGGTTAAGGTCTTTTGTTTGCTTGCTTATTTACTTTTCTCAATCAAATACAGTTATGAGTTTTTTGTTTTCTCGCCTAATGTCTTTATTTAAATGAACATGTTATTGGTAAGTAGATTTATAAACCAGGAAATGAACCCAAAGAAATAAGATAAGAAAGAAAGAGAAAGCTCATGATATTTTGTATTACAAGAAAAGCCGAATAAGAGATGTTTTAAAATGATTATCTTTATAACTACCTTTTATTATTATTACCTTTTTTACCATTTCAGATGGAATCAAACTCCGGAAGTTTCTAGGTGAGAGAATCGGTAAGGTTTAAATTTTCAAATTTAACACAATTGCTTTTGTAATTTACTCTTTGCTTCATTGAAACCAGTTTTGGATTCCTAACCCTCACAATAATTCACATTTTGCCCTTTTATGATCACTCTTCTAACATTTCAATATTTACTTTTATTTCCACCTTTCTAGACATTTCCCATTTACCGCTGTTTTTATCCGATGATTGGCAGAATAATTGTAATTTCTGGCATTTCTATCAGAGACACGTCCAATCTGAAGACCAATATAAACCTAGATCAATTGAATCATCTATTGACACAACTTTTAAAATTCAACCGAATGGTGACTTAGTGAATGGATAAATAAAGGAATTAATAATTCATAAAGAACCCAATGTACTGTATGTATTATAAAGAGTAATTAATACAATTAAATATGATTTAGCACATAATTCAATTTGGCTTGCTTAAATACTGTTGAGAAAATCCTAAAGAGTCCGTTAGAGTAAATCCTTTATTTTGATTGATTTATTCTTGCTTTACTTACTTGAGTATTTAAGAAACGCAAATGATTTTGCTGAGATAGTTGTCATCGACTGGATTGATTAGTAGGACTTTGAAATCGTGAACTTGACCTGAGACTATTCTTTTATATTTTCTTAGGATTTCGATTACTTTTTGCCTGACTTGGAGGAAATGTTGAGCGTTATTTCTTGATTTTCTTTGATTTTTCTCGCCCTTTGTTCAATTCTTTTCTTTTCTTTCAGTTTATATTCATTTTCGTGTTTCTTTGGTTTAGGCTTTTGATCGAAATTTGCACTTGTTGAGGGCTGAGGCCCTGTCACCGTTTTTTCATCAATTTCAGGACCAAAAACTTTAAGGAATTGATTTCGGAAGATATCATCATAACTTATTTTATCAGGAACTTCAATTGTTAACTGGAATGGAGTAGATCTTCCTTTATTGTAATGAAATAATGCCCATTCGGAATGATTCACCACCATTGCTGAGGTGCTACTCCAATGTGCAAAATTTGCACCAAGGATTAAATCGTAGTTCAGTTTATCGAAGACATAAATTCTTATTAAGTCTTCTTTAGGTGGATCTTTAAGTTTGAATCGTGCTTGAGTAACTCCTACAGATTCGATTATGGATGTATCGAATTCCATAAATTTTTGTTTAAATCTGTAAATTTTCATTCCCAAATGCTTAGCAATTTCAGTCTTAATCGCTGTAGAGTCAGTGCCTGTACCAAATAATGCAGTTATCGCGACCTTTTCATGATTTGTTTTCTCAACTGTTATAATAGCTTCAGGTGATTTAAATTGCTCAGACATTTCCGATACAGCAAATAATTTGAAATAACTAACTCGAGGTTGATTCGGGCAATTTCCTGATTTTCAATTTTTTAACTCTTGCCCAATGTGTCGAGCTTGACAGGTCTACTCGACTCGACAATTGACTTTGAGATTTAAAAGGCGATGGTGGTTAAAGCGTAAAATATCAGGACGACAGGAAAAAATGAAGTTCCGCAGATTCAGTTACTTAAGGGCAAATATTTTTTAATCAAATGTCAATGTGATCTTTAATAGTTTAATTCTGAGTGTTTGAATTTGAAGCTCTAGTGATGAAGGTGTGTTTGCGAGCAATGCTCAGCAAAGGTCTAATTGAGAGCAAACGCTCATCAATATTTTATTGAACACAATCTTGAAAGCGTTCGATAGCAAACACAATGCGAAATTGGATTGAAAGCTTTGCTTAGTTTAACACAGAAGACAATTTTGAATACGTTTGCTTTCAAACAAAATTAAGGATTGAGAGAAATTTTCGTCAATACTAACACAAAAAAATAATTTCACTTCGATCACAGAACAAATATTTGAGAGCTTCGCTAATCCAAATCAAAGAGTAGTTGATAAATTAAAGATATTCAAACATTGATTACTTGATTGCTTACTTACAAGGAAAGTGACCTTGCTTGTACGATCATTTTCGATTTTTTTCGAGTTTATATTGTAGAGGGCAAAAAATAATTAGACACGTATTTTTGCTTTTTTTACGCCGGTGCGCGGTTATTGATATTTAGGCACTTTAAAGGTTAAGATTCTGCATTGAAATCTATTGAAGTCACTGGAAAGTGATTCACAATTTTTTTAAGATTTTTTCATTTTTCTGCTTTTCATTGTTTACTTGCTTCTCAGTGACTGCAATTCATTACTATTTTTAA